GGGACTTTTCACCCAACCGCATCTCTCTTCTCAACCTTTGCGTTGTGACTGTTCACTCTCGGTTTGATTCTATTGCTTTTTAAATGTGTCAGTCTGTGCATTGAACCGAATAAATCGATCTTTAACGTATTTTCTCCCACAAAAGTTCTATTCGTCTGTAACGGCAGACTTTCCAATTCCGTTTTTGAAATCCCTGACAAGGTACAAAGAAATGTCCCACAGATCTCGCCATGCATCAGTTTTAAAGCACTAATCTGATTTAATCATGTCTGATATAACCTTATTGAACTGAACTGTGAGCGTATAAGCTTAAACAAACTAAAACCAATACAAACACTCAAATTTTCCTCATACCAGAGGAAAAATTGAGTTCCGTGGATCCGGACCACGAAATGGAATAGTTAAATCCACCAAGCATTGAACGTAGATATGTAATCTGAATAGCTGTTTGTGCTAATGAATCAATACTCATCGCACACTAGTCAAATATGAGTGTGTGGCTTGCTCGTTTCTACTTTGGATTTCGGGACAACCAATTAAAAGTAGGCTGAAATAAATTCTGCCGAGTGGGCTAAGACAGTCGTGGCGGAACCTAACGTTTTCACATTACGTTTAGAACCGCGATGGTTACACACTGCAGAAAGTTAGCGTCTGCATTCGTGGATCCAACGCTGAACACCACCAGCCTCATTATCATCATACGACATTTGGCTGAGACCTGTTTTGGTTATAATAGCGGAATATTTAAAACCCTTATTGCTTCTTCACTTAGAAATAGACATCGGCAATTACACATTTTCCCTGCAATGATGTATTTTATGAGGATAAGGCAGAATAGATTTCATCGGGGAGGTTAGATTTTTGGTGGTGGTGGTGGTGGTGGTGATGGTGATGATGATGGCCGTTCGGCAGCAGGCAAGCACAATTATCCGCCCATTGGAGTTTCTTATCTTACTGTTGCTACCGATAAGTTAACGCAACGTAACTCGTGGTGTGCCCTCAGCCAATCACAAGACTGAGCGGAACGAACTTTTGACAGGCCTTGCAATACTGTCCGGTTTCAGCAATTCCTATGCAGAGACATTATTCTCTATTCGAAGTTGGTGGGTTTTATATCCCTGGAACGATTCGAGTTCGATCATAATATTTTTCCAAGTAAACAAAAATGTAGAGCTGTATGTTTAGTAATTTCCGATCATTTGTTCCCGAGGTTAAGTTTGTATCCTTGAGTTCTGCCCTACAGGATGGACGGAAACGTCGAAATTTGATCACTCAAATTAGGAGGCAGAACGAAAGCTTGAAGTTCAACTCGAATGATGAAAAGACTTAAATCTTTCGGTCCGGTTTCGACAAGAAGAATAAATACCCTAATGACCAGTCTTTTTAGGACTATCAATCGAACTAAACGAGAACATTTTCCGACTTTCTAGCGAAAACATAAAGGCGACGGTTTACTTTGGAAATTCCTTTTACATCAGCCAATTATATTTGCTCTGAAACTCTAATTCTCCTTCTCTGTCTATTGGTGACCAAAGTTCTACAATACGCAACGCCAATACAGTCCCCCCCCCAAATATTCAAGTTGGTCGTTGGTTTGGTGAGTACATTACGCTAGTTGGTATTCTTTGCTACTCGCTCGGACAGCTGTCCGCTTAGCTTTACAGGGGTGTTCTAAGACAGGAATATCAAACGGACTACTCCAAAGCATGGATTCATTCAATACAGGAGCCATGGCTTTCTGATGCATCGAGTACCTATTGCTGCCCTGAGAATGGGTTACTGTTGCTGTTGTTGTTGTTGTTCATGTTGTTCTCATGGTGGTGATGGTGGTGGTGGTGACGTTGATGGTGGTGGTGATGGTGATGTTGGTGATGGTGGTGGTGATGTCGATGGTGATGGTGGTGATGGTGTCGGTGGTGGTGTTGGTGGTGGTGGTGGTGGTGGTGGTGGCGATGGTGGTGATGGTGGTGATGGTCATGGTGGTGGTGAAGCTGGTGGTGGTGGTGTTGGTGATGGTGATGCTGGTGATGGTGGTGGTGGTGCTGGTATTGATGGTTTCATTGGTGGT